AACGGCATTTTCAGCCGGCAGACGGCATCGACCGGCAACCGACATCGACCGGCAACCGGCATCAACCGGCATCGACCGGCAACCGGCAGACGGCATCAAACGGCAGACGGCATCGAACGGCACCGGCAGACGGCAACCGGCCGTTTAGTCAGTGCCTCATCAGGGTGCAATCATTTTATGTTTACAAAAGATAACTGATAAAATAACTGTAAACAACAAATTAATTATAATCATTAACTAAAGTATACATTTCAATATTATTTTTAAGTTACTTTATTATTATTTAAAAATTTTAATTTTATTAATTTTTGTAATTAATAGTAAATTAAAATTATATTTTGAGTTTTAACAAAATCATTAGAAAATTATTATATTAATTAATTAATGCACTAAAAATACAGTTTAAAATATAACTAAAAAATTAACATTTATTTGCCGCACAATAATTATAACTACATTATCGACCCTCACAGCAGAGCACCGGTAGCCACCAGTACCTCGTAGACGGGGGATGGCTACTTCATTTTAATGATTTAAAAAATATTGTCTCTAAATAATTTGAAAATTTAAATTACTAATTGATTTTATTATAATCAAGTTAATTGTGTGTTATTTTTAAAATAAAATTATTAATACTGTAATAGTGACTTAATTTTTATTTAGACTATGAATAAAAGCTTAAAAAATTAAACATCGGCAACCATCAACCTCACCCTGCTAATAAATAATAACAAGCTAAATATTTTCTATAATTTTATTTCACCTATTACTGGATACAATGCTTTGATATGTTTTGCAAAAATACAATATAATGAAATACAATATAAGAAAAATATTTAATAAACTGTAATTAAAAAATTATAATTGTTTTAATACACCGAAATGATTTTATAAAACATATTTTTAGGTACCATGTTTATAATTAATTAACTAATAATTTTTAATGATTTAAAAATTAAACTAATTTACTATACTAAATTAAACTTTAATTAATTACATATTGTATTTTAATTTAATAATTTAAAAAATATTGTCTCCAAACGCCATCACAAGTACTCTTAAAGGGATTCAATAAAACACGTGACCTCTGGTCGGGGTTTAAATCCTTTACATTTGACACCAAATTATCCGAATCCCTGTCCATAAAGTTTGGCCAATCGTTATGAGGTTTACTATTAAAACAAATATATTTTTAAATAAATTCAAAATTTATAACAAAATATTTACCCATTTGTGGCAAAATTAGTCCACATTTGCATCACATCTATACTGAAATCATAGTCCGTTTCCGTGTAAGACTTGGGATCCCGGAGCGGGTGTCCGAACACAAAGGCCATGTCAGCCCCGTGAACAACATCACCATGGTCATCCCAGTTTAAACTACTAAATATATTGCTTTGGTATGTTAGCATGTAGAAATATGCATCCCGGTTTGAGTTCATAGCAAATTGCTTAGTAAATAAGTAGGTAGGACATATCATAAACAGGTCACCGTATAACTTTGAAAATGCCCTGCTCACTTCGTGTGAGTTATCCGGGTCTATGTTTTTCAAGTAATATTCACTGACTGTCTCAATGTGTATGTTATGAAAGACTTCATTCATTTGGTTGAGTGCTGTGTTGAACGCATTTGTCGTGAAATTTGCGGATAATATCTGTGGATATGATAGTATGGCTAACATATGACCCTCGTCCTTTGTGATTCCAGATAGTATATCGATATCTGTTAGTTAATTGTTATTATAAAAACTATATCAGAACTTTTTATAATAAAAATTATGAGTTATAATTAAATTAGATGCGTTGGATTGAGACCATATAATTAAAAATTTACAATTAGTATAATAAATATACAATAAAAAAATTTTATTTCAGTTTATGAGTAATGTAATATACGGCAAAAATTATTAATTATTATTTTATGATGCTAATTAGTAATGTTATAAGCATAACTAGTCATAAATTGGTTAAACAACATAATTATAATTAAAAACTAAACTACTAAATTAAGTATTTAAATTTTTTGTTGAATTTATATATATCTAAAATGAAATCTATTATATACTTCTATTATATATTATCTATTTTATACTATATATTTTATATATATATTATATAAGAAATTTTCAAATATTATTTTTGTAAAATAATTATAAAAATATAGGTAAATATTTTAAAAATTAATAATTATATTAAACCTGAATTAAACCGTTTGTCTCGAAACGCCTGTTCCGCTGAAACGGGCAGAAACTCTGTGCCCAACACCGGGAATGTCAGGGCTTTGGTATCCCTGACCAACAGCCCCGGGTCTACACCTCTCAGACACTTCAACCACATGTCTGTCCCATCACTACAATTGAGTTCTCGTGCCATACGTTTGCCATTCTCTATGGCCTCCCCTTTGCTGATCACATCCCTATCCTTATTATACATATGAGCACCGCTTGACATAATAGCCCTCCGGAACAGTCCCTGTGATAGTGGGGACAGTATGTGAGCCGATACGGACCAACTGCCGGCGCTCTCACCGAATATAGTGATCCGATCCCTATCCCCACCAAATGAGTGAATGTTTTCGCGAACCTATTCATCAAAATAAAAATAATTATAAAACAAATAATAAATAAACTTATTTCTGAAACTGTATTCATAAAAATTATATTTTTTTAAATAATTTAATTCATTTTTTAGTATTTAACTTTGGCACATACGTGATGGCTTTTAAAATTTTAAAATTTTTGTATGGTAAATTATACTATGAAATAAAATAAATTTTATAAATACTTTGAAAATACAAAATTATTATTATTTTTACAATTAAAACTTCAACTAACTACAGTAAGACTAATATAAGAAATATTATTCTGATACGATTTATAATTTTTTAATTTAAGCAAGCCTTATACATTATTAAAATATGCTATAATATTAAAATGCGTTTTTTATAAAGTTAAATTATATAATATTTACAAAAATATTTACCCATTTAAGTGCTAATAGTTGATCATAAAAACCAACATTGCCCGGTGCTGTAGTACCATCACCGCCATACAAAAATCCCAACTGACCAAGGCGATAATTGACTGACACTACCACCACATCATACGTGGCTAATATACTGGCGTTGTATAGGGACTGGAATATGGAGCCTATAGTCAGACCCCCGCCGTGTATCCAAAACATTACCGGCTTAAGTGAACTACTATCTTGGTCATTTTGTTTTAGTAATTGAGTTTGTGTCCATATGTTTAATACTAAGCAATCTTCGTTGAAATTTAAGCCAGCAAAAAAGTCGCCGTATTGTGGACTTTCAGGTTGATAGCATGAATGACCAGGCTTAGTTCCGTCAATTATATCCTGGTCATTAAAGTTAATTTTAATTTAAATTTTTATTTGAAGTGTATTATAAGACTAAATAAAATTTCAATTTGTTGATTGTTGGTTATTTGAAAATTCTGACCTAGGTTATAATAATTATAATTATTATTTTTTGATAAAATAGATTAAATTTTTAAAAATAAATAAATTAATAGTTTAAAATATCTTTTCTTTCTAACCTGTAATCTCACAATATAATTACATTAAAATATGCAAAAATATCGCTAAATTAAACTAACTAAATGAAATAATAATGTTATATATTATTTATCAAATTTTATTTTATTGATATATTTTAATTATTGTTATTGATAATTAAACTGTAATTATAATTTATATTTTTATTAGACTATGCAAAGTATTTAATAAATTAATTTTTTGGAGTAACTATCACACTTATTTAAATAAAAATTTTCTCAATTATTTTTTATAATAATATAGCAATTCATCTTGTTAAAATAAAATAATATTTACGTATATTGTCAAGTTATTTGTAAAAACCTTGTAAATATCAACGCCAATTATTTTACATGAATAAATTAATAAAATGTTAAGTTCAATAATTATGTATAAACTATTCATCATATTATTTCACCTTATTTTTGGATACAATGGGTAAGGGTTTAGCGAATCGTAATTCACCGACAGGTGCCTCGGCATACGGTATGGCCAAAAATTGGGCTATATTTTTGTTGAGCACCAGTATGTTTAAGCCACGCACTACACCACTACTTGTGTCAACATTTATTGTATTTATTTCACTGCATACAACATTATATGTGAGTTTATTTAAATATAAAATACTAAAAACTGTTATAAAATAATTTGTAATAAACATGATCATAAAACTATTTTACTTAAAATTAAATTGGTTATAAATTGGTTTAAAAATTTTTTATAATTTGTAAAAATATAATTATCAAAATACTAATTTTTCAAGGATAACTTCATTTTTAATCGTTATTTTGTTTTTATCTAAATAAGTGCATAGTGATAATATAACTTATAATTTTGTACAAACCAATTAAAAAACAAGACAAACTTTTATTTACAATTAAAAATTTATCAGTATAACATTGATATTTTTATAACACTAAAACAGCGTTTGCTAGCGCCTTTTAATATTTAAATTTCACGAGATCTCAGTCATATAGATTATCAGTAGATAAGGTATTTAATAATCGTAAATAACCAGACAAGAGCAAATGTTACTGATTGACAGTACCTGGTTCAACTGACTTAAAAAATAATTCACAGAAATCATTATTACTTATTACTTATTTATTACTTAAACCTTTATTACTTATTTTTCACATTTTCTAATTAATTTCAACTTTTCTATAATAAGTTTTCTTACTTCCAACTCATATAAAATAAAATTGAATTTGTGTATGAGTTTTGAGAATGTCATTACAAATGTTGTAATATGGCCATTTCTGGCCATCCTGCTTTTCTATGGTTTAGTCTCTTATTATCACAACTCTTTCATTTTTAGTTGTGTTTTATTTCTTTGATAATAATATACAATAGTCTTATGTCTGTGTTTTTGTTTGCTTATGTTTGGTCACTGTTTCGATATATTAGGGCTAAACCTAATAGACAATGACCGACCGGAAAACATCAATTATGAATTATTTCTTGACTTATTCTCTCTCTCTCTCTCTCTCTCTCTCTCTCTCCCCATATGTATCAATCAATACATAAACTCTTTGACTTTTATCTGTAGTGCAATTTCTGAGTCATGACATGAGAGACTTTGGACTGTATCTGTGCTTTCAATATGTAGTCTCCGCACAGTTAGAGACGGTCTGAAAGACAAACCATTTACTAAATTATTTCGATAATTCTTTATTAGTAAACCATTAGTACAAACGCGGACTCTCTCTCCCATATCCCTCTCTTGTGAAACAAATTTATTGCTTTCTTAATGATTGCAGACTTTCATATAAGCCTTACAAAAATCTGTCTTAAGTCAAAAAAGTTTATGCTTTTAAAGCAATATTACCTCCACTTCTGAAAATACAACAAACCATAACATAACTTATTTTTATGTTCGTTGTATAAACACAGTTCAACATTAATGCCTCACTTTTTGTGAGATGTGTTTTGACTCACAATCTCTTCTATACTTATCATCCATAATGTGATTCTTTAGAATTGCTTAGAATTTAATGAATATATTTATTAACTTATATTTTCCAATATAATTACATTTTGTTGTAAGTTGTATGAAATTATTGAATTATTACATTTTATTAGAAATTAATTATATTTCCAATTACTTACAAACATAAGTTACATTATATTATTATATAGCCCTTATTATTTAGGGGAGAGAGAGGGAGAGGGAGAGAGAGAGAGAGAGAGAACAAGGAATGAGTAATTGGAATGAAGGGTCTGGTAAACTGATAGTGTATGGGTTGGGTATGTAATCTTTTGCAGTTAGAAAGTGTTTCGGACAGCAAATGAGTCGGGAGTCCATTAATCTGTATTAATTTGTTCGATACCTTCCACTCCACTCTCAAGCACTTCAATCACACATCCCTCGCACTCTTCGGCTTCTCATTTGTTGTGCACTTTCTATGTGTGGATCCCTTTTGTCTATGTCTTTGAACTGCTGTTAAATTATAGTTTCCATTCAGTACTGCATTACTCCCCGGACTCCTAATTTTAATGCTTATGTTCTGTGCTCTCAAACCCAGTCAGTCTATCATTCCTAATGTAACCCTAAATACAGACTTTATGGATATCATTGCTTTTCAATGTTATTACAATATATTGAGTCCAATATTTATATGAGAGTTTAGATGTCAAAGAGGAAAGTCAATAGAATATATGGTCCACAATACAGCCCAATGTAATGAACTTTATTTTGTTAATAAACACTAACATTGTTTTACACGTCTGAATAAATGATGTGATTAGAGCTTAAACTCTAAATTGATATCCAATTAATGTGTCTATTTATCCATCAATTCACATGTTTTAGTTCTAAATAACTAGTAATTAGGTTTCAATTTGTTTTAGTAATAAATCTTGCATTTCGATATTTGGGTTTCAAACTAAAGTTTTCTTCATATTATAGTATGGTTTTAATAAAAAAAATTTAATATTCATATTTTATATTAATTTTTATATAATATAAAAATAAAAATCAACACATTAATATTAAATTTATATTACAATATATTAAGACAAAATATATCTATTTTAGATGTAGAAAATGATATTTAATAATTGTAACGTGCTGGTAAACTATATTTCATGATTTATAAATTAAAATTTATATACCTTGAATACCCTGATATTAAGTTAAAGCAATTTCAATAACCATTCTTTAGTAAATAAATTATTATATTTATTGATTATTTCTTAGGTTTATTAGCAATGAATAGAATTATCTCAAAATATGGGCTTTAGTTTGATTGGACTTTCTTTTCCAATTTAATTATATTGATACAATGTAATGAAATTACACTTTAGGCCCTAAAGTTTAGGGTTGACCTTAATCCATTATCACACAGGTATTTTGATTAGTCTATATCCAGACTGTGTTGTGCTTGAGATAAATCTTTAGAATAATTTAGCTAGTTAAGATTTTATTTATTAATAATTTATTATAATTCTCAATTTATTATATTCAATATATTCTAATATGAAGAATAAAAATAATTTTATGTAATAATATGAGTGGCAAATGATGTTCACAAGGTTTTATCATAATTTTGTTAACATACTTATGAACCACATTTGCAAATCAATTTCTTTTATTTTCCTTCCTTTGCTGCAAATTATTGGAGTTAAAAGATATGTGAGTGTGTGTGTGAAGCGTTATCTTTAAAAATATCTTTAGTCTTATATTTGATGCCATTTTAGACCGAAAAAGAGCAGATTGTGAGTGAATACCAAAAACGATGGAAAGCGATGAATTGAGGCAATAGAGTGGC